GTTGTTGTTGTTGTTGTTGCAGTTTGGCTGGGGCCAGGTTTGTACCCACCACCCTCAGTATATGGGGCCGGCACCCTACTCACTGAGCCATAGGTGCCGCCCTCTATGGTTGTCTTAACTTTATGCTTTTTAAGGACATGCATCTGGTTCTACTTGTAGTTTAGAACAGATGTTGTAGATGCTTTAAACACAGTCCTGCTTTGGCCTATCCAAGTACTACTTCACTTAAATTTTACCTAAATCCTACCCTTCCTCAAAATCTTATAATGCTTACCTTTTCCTGTTTGGTGAGATGCCCCGCAGTCCTTTGGTATGTGGTGTCCCTCATTGTCACAAGGTAATAAATCTTTGTCAACATCCAGGTTTGTTCCTGGTGATCTTAGGCTGGCTGAGAATATGGGTATCAGGATACTAGGGTGCTTTATACTATGTGGTATTCCCTCTGTTCTTACATATGCTTATTATTTTCCATAAATTTCCCAAGTTCTTTTTTTAAATTTTTATTTATTTATTTTGGCCAGGGCTGGGTTTGAACCCACTACCTCTGGCATATGGCGCTTGAGTCCTACCCTTTTGAGCCATAGGCACCGCCAAGTTTTGTTTTTTTTTTTTTTTTTTGAGACAGATTCTCACTTGCTCACAATTGGTAGAGTGCCGTGGCATCTTTACTCACAGCAACCTCAAACTCTTGGGTTCAAGTGATCCTCTTGCCTCAGTCTCCCAAGTAGCTGGGATTATAGGCGCCCATTACAACGCCTGGGTATTTTTAGAGACAGGGTCTCACTCTGGCTCAGGCTTGTCTCGAACCTGTGAGCTCAGGCAATCCACCTGCCTCAACCTCCCAAGGGCTGGGATTATAGGTGTGAGCCATTGTGCCTGGCCTCCCAAGTTCTTTTTTTTTTTTTTTTTTTATGACAGTTTTACTTTGTTGCCCTTGGAAGAGTGCCATGGTGTCACAGCTCACAGCAACCTCAAACCCTCAGACTTAAGCTGTTCTCTTGCTTCAGCTTCTCAAGTAGCTGGGACTACTAACACCCACCATAATGCTTGGCTATTTTTTGTTTTTAGAGACAGAGTCTAACTTTGTCACTCTCAGTAGAGTGCTATCGTGTCACAGCTCACAGCAACCTCCAGTTCTTGGGCTTAGGTGATTCTCTTGCCTCAGCCTCCTGAGTAGCTGGGACTACAAGTACCCGCCATAACGCCTGGCTAGTTGTTGTTGTTGTTGTTGCAGTTTGGCTGGGGCCGGGTTTGAACTTGCCACCCTCGATATATGGGGCCAGCACCCTACACACTGAACCACAGGTGCCACCCATGCCTGGCTATTTTTAGAGATGAAATCTCACTCTAGCTCAGGCTGGTCTGGAAACTGTGAGCTCAGGCAATCTGCCTTGACCTCCCAGAGTGCTAGGATTACAGGCATGAGCCACCTTACCCAGCCTCCCAAGTTCTTAAAAAGTTCTCACCTCATGACAGGAGGTCATGGAGTCACTATGAAAGCATAATAGATCTGTAGAAAGAATAATAGCCACGCCCACACCCCTGGCTTGGATTACCCAGGTAGGCCCAGTATAGTCACATGGGTCCCTGAAAGCAGAGATATTCTGGCTGTCGTCAGAGATGCAATGTTACTAGCTTTGAAAACGAGGGAAGGGGCCACAAGACAGGGAATGTGGGCAGCCTCTAGAAGGCATAAAAGGTAAGCAAACAGATTCTCCTCTAGAACCTCTGGAAAGGAAAGCAGCCCTGTTGATAATTTTAGATTTTAGTCCAGTGAGACCACGTCAGAGTTCTGACCTACAAAGCCTGTAAGCCTTAAATTTGTGTTTTAAGCCACTACATTTGTGGTATTTTTTTTTTTTTTTTGAAACAGAGTCTTAAGCTGTTGCCCTCAGTAGAGTGCTATGGTGTCACAGCTCACAGCAACCTCCAGCTTTTGGGCTTAGGCAATTCTCCTGCCTTAGCCTCCCAAGTAATTGGGACTACCGGCTTCCTCCACAACAAACTCCAAGTCCTGGGCTTAGGTGATTCTCTTGCCTCAGCCTCCTAAGTAGCTGGGACTACAGGCGCCTGCCACAACGCCCAGCTATTTTTTCGTTGCGGTTTGACTGAGGCCAGGTTTGAACCTGCCACCCTTGCTATATGGGGCAGGCGCCCTACTCACTGAGCCACAGGCACTGCTTGAAATGAAGCTATTTTTATGTGTTGAGTTATTTGACTCTGGGGGATGGCCTAAAGACAGAGAACAGCCACCCACACTGGCCTGACTATAGAGTTGGAATCATTTTGGACAAAATGCTTAGCAGATACTGTGATTCCTGGTGCGACCTCAACTCCTCAGCAGCCTTTTTATTTATTTGAGACACAGTCTTAAGTTGTTGCCCTGGAAGAGTGCTATGGCATCACAGCTCATAGCAGCCTCAAACTCTTGGGCTTAAGCAATTCTCTTGCCTCAGCCTCCCAAGTAGCTGGGACTACAGGTGCCAGCCACAATGCCCAGATGTTTTTTGGTTGTAGTTGTCATTGTTAGGTTTGGCAGGCCCAGGCTGGATTCGAACTCACCAGCTCTGGTGTATGTGGCTGGCACCCTAGCTGCTGAGCTACAGGCACCAAGCCAAGACTCTCTTTTTGAGAAAGTGTCTATGTTGCCCTTGGTAGAGTGCCGTGGCATCACAGCTCACAACAACATCAAACTCTTAGGCTTAAGCAATTCTCTTGCCTCAGCCTCCCAAGTAGCTGGGACTACAGGCGCTTGCCACAACACCTATGTTGTTGTTGTTGCAGTCATCATTGTTTTTTAGCTGGTCTGGGCTGGGTCAAACCCACCAGCCAGGGTGCATGTGGCCAGTGCCCTAACCGCTGAGCTACAGGCAACAAACCTAGCCTTTTCCTTAAGAGATGGGATCTTGCTCTTGCTCAGGCTGGTCTGGAACTCCTGAGTTGAAGCAATCCATCTGCCTCAGCTTCCCAGTGCTAGGATTATAGGCATGAGTCACTGTGCCTGGCTTAGAGAACTATTTTAAATCACGTAAGGTGAGATAAGTCACTTGCATGACTTATCATATATATATATTTTTTTTTTGAGACAGAGCCTCAAGCTATCCCCCTGGGTAGAGTGCCATGGCATCACAGCTCACAGAAACCTCCAACTCCTGGGCTCAAGCGAGTCTCCTGCCTCAGCCTCCCAAGTAGCTGGGACTACAGGCGCCCGCCACATTGCCCGGCCATTTTTTTGGTTGCAGCCATCATTGTTGTTTGGCGGGCCAGGGCTGGGGATTCGAACCCGCCACCTTAGGTGTATGTGGCTGGCGCCTTAGCCGCTTGAGCCACAGGTGCCGAGCCTTTTTTTTTTTAAGAGACAGAGTCTCACTTTATCGCCCTCAGTAGAGTGCCATGGCATCACACAGCTCATAGCAACCTCCAACTCCTGGGCTTAGGCAATTCTCTTTGCCTCAGCCTCCTGAGTAGCTAGGACTACAGGTGGCCACCACAATGCCCAACTATTTTGTTGCAGTTTGGCAGGGGCCTGGTTTGAACCCTCTACCCTCTGTATATGGGGCCAGCGCCCTATTCACTGAGCTACAGGTGCCGCCCTCTCCCTTCTTTCTTTTGGCTAGGTTCTTTATTTCTAGGACAAAAAACTAAATCCCCCACTACTACCCCCCATTCTGAGAGTGGCAGATGGGAAGACATAAAGAAGCTTCCTGGAGTTTGTGCTTGCTCCATTTCCTAGCTCTCGGGGCTCACACATAAGCTCCTACCCTCTCCTAAACCACTTTCTTTCTTTTCATGCACGGCAGGGCTTGGTTTAGGGTTTTGGAAGCAATTCCTGCTGTAGAATGTCAGAGGAACAAGTGAACACACAGGAAATGTGTGTGGTTGGTGAAGGATTTAAGAAGAAAGGCTAATACTTTCCTCAGGTGAAAATTGCTGGTCGAGAGCAGAGTTCAGAGCAGGCACCAATAAATACATGCTGAAATAAATGAACAACTGATTAGAAAAATAAGCAAAACGTAAGTAAACTTTATTTTCAAAGTCTTTGAGATACAGAAGAAGAAAAAGGAATAGTCTGAAGCTAACACAAACTCTCCCCCATGAGTTTAGAGTACTCTAGGGGAGAAAGAGGCTGGGGATGGAAAGGTGGGTGGGAGATGCAACATTTTTCTAACTTTAGAGAGTCCAGATCAAGCCAGAACATTATGGTATTGGTTGTAGATTCTTTTTTTTGCAGTTTTTGGCCAGGGGCTGGGTTTGAACCTGCCACCCCCAGTATATGGGGCTGGCGCCCTATTCCTTGAGCCACAGGTGCTGCCCCATGGTTACAGATTCTTTACAAAGGTCTTTACCTGTAGGAAAGAGAAAAACCCAAGTTAAATTTCCCATTCTTAGCAGACTATTCAATAGTCTACCCACAATGCAAATGTAGCCAAGCCCATGAGGTTTTTTGTTAGGAAGAGAAAACAGGCAAGGAGGAGAAATGTGAACAGGTCAGAGTCACACAGCATCAAGTAGAGGAGCCGGGAACAGAATCCAGAAGTCTAATTTCCTAAGTTTTAGAACACCTTAGAGGAGAAAGTAAGCTGATAAGGATGTGTTACCAGTCAATCTGTTAGCAATTATTAGCCCAATATACTTTAGAGAGTAGGGATTACTGTAATTTGTACAAGATCCCACAGGCTTTGGAGCATGAAATGCAATTTGAGATGCAAAGCACAAGACCAATTATATTGCACTTCATTTGAAGCAAAGGCCAGAAAGATAAAAGTACACTAGACAGCAGGAGTTATGGTCCTTCCCACCTTTCTCATGAGTTCTTCTTGTTTGGTTACCTCTTCAGAAAAATCATCATTGACATCCAACACCAGCACAGGAATATTCTGCAGAGCCTCAAAGTGGGGCCTATGAGAAGCATGAATGTTTGGGACAGAAAAAAAGAAAAGAAACTTAAGCCAAGCTTCAAATGCTCACCAAGCTCAGAGAACGGATCTAGATTCATGTGGCTTCTCAATAAAACTGCATGTAAACAGCACTTTAAAAAATGAATTCAATAAAGCTGGCTGGAAAGAGAAAGGTTGAGATTTCTCTTTAGTCTTGAGAGTGATACTAAAGGTTAGAGCTCCAAACATTTTAAATGGACAACCAGCCAAGCCTGGAGGACAGGCAGAAACTCAGAACGTAAACTTACTAAACCTGACATTTCTCTAACATTTTCAGCCCTTCACCCTGAGCCAACTATCACCATCAATCACCATGTTAAATCTAGGGAAAAGAAAGGAAAGGGGAAAGGGGGAGGAGAAGGAGAAAGAGAAAGGAAAGGAAGAAAGTAAGCTGGAAAAATAGAAGCTAATAAAAAGTCTCTTGGTACGTACAGATTATATTCAATATTAAATTTCTGAGTTGGAAAATGCTTGATATTTCCAACCACTTCCAATACATTCCGAACTATCCTATGGGGCTGTACGCTGAACTTCTTTT